CGACGGAAGCCGGGCCGGGACACGGGGCGGCCGCGCCCGCCGCCCCGAGGGGTTTCCCGGCCCCGGCCTCCCCCTGCCCCAGGAGCCGGTGGCAGCTCTCCCTGCCCCTCGTGTGCGCCACGCGGGACCGGGCTGCGGGAGGAAGGGGCAAGAGCCGGGGCGGCCGCGCGGCCCGTGGGCGAGGGGCGTCCACGCCCTGTGCCAGGAGTCACCAGGAATCACAGACTCGCAGAAGTGGGGTCGAAGGGACCTTGCAGATCGCCAAGCCCGACCCCCCGCCTGGGCGCGAGAAAACCTGACTCACACGAGGGGCCAGATCCTGCTGGCGGCACCCTTTTGCCAACGTGGCACTCGGGGCGCAGAGCTGGCACGCGCGAGGCGGCGCAGGGGAGGTCAGCCGGGCGCCCCTTGTTAGCATCAGTTTTACCCCACGTTAAGACACCCTCACAAGGGCGCAGGGAGGCTCGAAATCCAGACAATGGCTCCGACCCCCACCCAGCAGCTCTGCCCAGCCCCAGGCCGGGTTTCGGCGGGTGCCCGTGGCGGGAAGGGTGACGCACAGACCAGGCTGCAGGGAACGTGGCCTGAGAGAGCAAAAGGGCCGGAGCGGGAGGGCACCTTCGTGGGGCCGGGCGCTCGGCGTGGCGGGGTGCAGGGACTCAGCCCCATCCCTGGTGAGGGAGCTGGTCAGGACCGGGTCTGTGGGCGGCAAAGCCAACACGTGCCGCGCCGCCTGCCCGGGCCCAGCTGGCCCCCGGGACACGTGGGGAGCACGCGGGGCTCTCGGTGACAGGGGCCACAACCCAGCTGGCAGACCAACGTGCCCTTGCCCTGCCCTGGGGGCTTCAAGTGATGGCAGCCCCAGAGGTACATTCACTGTTTGCTACCCCCAGACCCTCGGTGAGGCTGATGGCAGCCGGCCCACGCACCCCCTCTAGGCAGACCTGTTGCTCAGGGGCCTAACTCCAACCCGCTGCACTCCCACCCACTCCAAAGGGCTTTGGATCGGGCCCTTCCCCGGGCGTCCTCCTCACCAGCCTCCCCTCTGCCCTTGCCCTCGGGGCACCAAAGCCTCCCCTCTGCCCTTGCCCTCGGGGCACCAAAGCCTCCCCTCTGCCCGAACCCGAGCCCCGCGATCGCCGTGCACCAGGGCGCATCCACGAAGCTTGTAACGCGTTTTGCAGCGGGGGGGCGAGGGGGAGAACTGCTCATCGGCAAAACGTATGGACCCAAAGGCATTGCCTGCTCAAGCCAGGAAAATCAGGACTGTTTCCACAGGCCCACAGGCACTTTGGACCTAGACCTACGTTTCGGCGGCGCTGTCAGGTGCGGCTGTCCTAAGTGCACAGGGGATCAAACCCAAAGGAGACTGTTAGCAAAAAGAAGTAAATAAAAAGAATTGACTCCAGGACTTTGGGGCTCCGGATAGAGGAGCTATTAACCCACCTAGCGCAGGAATATTTGTGCCTCGCTCTGCATAGCACACGCCTCAGGTGTAAGGTTTGCAGCAAGAGGCATTTATTGCTTTCACCGCTGCAAACAAGCCAGGCCCTTTCACTGTTTTTCTTTTCACCAGACACCGAACTCCCCCGTTCTTCAACGACCAAATATGCCTCTTAAACCTGAAGACACACGGCCATACAGGTTATTGTCCCGAAGTGGCCCGGCGCTGCGAAATCGGTCTGCGAGGTACTAGGAGCAGGTCGTCCCTCACGGCTGACGATGCCTGGGGAAAAAAAGCAACCCGGCGTTAATGACTCTGATCAACGGGCACAAATACAAGTTTGCAGCTACCCGCAAGGCCGGGGCTGCCTTCAGATCTGGAAGCTCTTCCCCGTTGCAGGCAAGGGGAAAAGGGAAAAAAACCCCAAAAACCCCAAACCTCCAAAGCAAACTAATTCTACCTTTCGCGAGTGGTTAAAATTAACCTGAGTTGTTTCCAACCATCCAGCCACATTCTCGATGGGTTTATATATATATACACATATAGAGAGAGAGTGACTATCCCTCCTTTTCAACATTTAAGGAAACAAGTTTAATATTCATGGCTGTTAATAGAGAAGGGCCATTATTACTGGCCTATTGTTCTGAGCCCTACACAATGCTGCTTGTATTTTCATGTGTATATTCCCAAAGTTCCTTCTTAGCGTTTAGTGAGCACTTAAATATTCATGGGTGTTAATAGAGAGGCCCCTAGTATATCGGGACATTGTTGGAGGTGTACATATTGGTCCCAGGCTGAATAGGCAGATTTCCCTTTTCTTTTGCTCTGTTTTGCAGGGTTGACGGGGCAGGAGCAAATAGGCACTTTTTTTTTCTCTCCCCCTTACAGAGAGAACATCTTTATTCCAGCCTCAGACTTTCTGGTTTCCCATTCAGACCCCTCCGAAATAATGTCAGGCAGAAGAAAAGTGGAGCAAATCAATCTTTCATGGTCTTTTTGAGACCAATTTGACATCCATGCACTCTTCTTTTCTTTCACAGCCTACAAGGGGATGGTCAGGATCTGGACAAGGTTGGGGTCTGATGAGAGGAGACATGAAATCAAATGCAGCAAAGAAAGAAAAGAAAAGCAAAACAAGAAAAGATTGCAGGGATGGGGCGATGGAGGAAAAATGAGGGTGAATGACAGTGCAAGAAAGGAGATTAGTGGCCAACAGCTGCTTTTTGGGGGCTGGGGGGGAGGGGGGCCATTTCGCCCCTCTTTCAGCCCTTTGCATGAATAGGATTTGAACAGAGCTGAGATTGATTTATAGTTATTGCAGTTGAACATTTATTGCTCTTAAAGAGTGGAGGGGAGAAAAGAGAAAAAAGGGGCATGAAAAGCTCCTTTCTGTATTAAAGAGGTATCAAATGAAGACTGCTGAGATAATATACAGTGGCCAATGGGAATTTGATTTGCTTTAAAATTTAACTCTTTTGGGGCTGCAGCTGATGGACACATTTTGAAACATAACGCTGGGAAGCTCAGCTTGGGGAGCGCTGATTTTTGTCTGCAGACAAAGCCTGGCCTTTTCCCTTTCACTCCTCAATAGCTCTCGAATATCTCGTTAGTGGTGCATTGCCTACAATTACCAATTTATGAATGAGGGAGAGGGAAGCTTTCCCTTATCCAGCCCCCCCCCCCTTTAAAAAGAAAAAAAAATAAACCAATCCAAATGATATAGGATTAACTTTTTCACTCCATTGTCCCTTTCCTCAAACAGGTTCAAGTCAATATTCGTTTGTTTAACACTGACACCGTGGAGGCGTCCCTCAGGTTTCTGACTTTTACAAGCAAAATACTCGGCAGCCTCCCCTGCTCTCCACTTCGCTCCTCTGATCCTTGCAGAATAAACTGCAAGGAACTTGTAAAACCCCTTCGGAGCTGCAAACCTGTTTTGTTTTTCGCTTTTTGCTTTCTTTTAAGTGCATGAACATTAAAATACTCTGCCAAGATTTGGGATTTGTTTTGGCCTTTTTTTTTTCTTTTTTTTGTGGGGCAGTCAGATAAAAAAAAAAAATGTTAACAGAGTAATTGGAGAAGGAAAGAAACCCTTTCGGGGTCGGATTGGTTTTTAGAGCCATAAAAATTGGGATGATTTCGCGTTGCTTTTACTAACACCAGAAAATCGATCCCTGCCCGGCTCTTGCCTGAGCTCTGGAACAGAAAGAAGCCCATTGTTCAATGGGAGAAATACATTTTTACCAGTGATTGAAGGCTCCTTTCTCTTTTGAACTTTGGAAGAAAGTCCCTGGCAGGGAAAGAA